CAAAGACCACAATTCCACTTGGGCTTTTTTCGGAGATTAGCGCAAATAATCAAGGAATTAATGTTGCTTACATTAGTTAAATATATGAATGTGTTTCAATTGTTCTGGGAAGATTATATTATATCTTATTCCATAGATTATATAATTTTAATGAGATTTTTACCAGAGACTGAACGAAAATGGTACGATAATAATGTATTTGCTGTACAACATATTTATATGTTGAACAATATTTTCACGAAAACTCATCAGAGATGATTGAATACATTATTTCAATTTATTTTATTCAACGGTAAAAGTGTATTTCATATTCATTTTATATTTCTTCTAGAAGAATGTGAAGATAAAAATATTTCTACAGTTCATAATCTTTTCTTTCTGTTGATTTCTGCAATACTATATGATCAATAATATTCGGAAAAAAGGCATTTTTTAAATTGCAAATAACTATTTAAATATTGATCATAATAGAGAAATATTATAAATAGAAATAATATAAATTTTCAAAGACATTACATAAAATATTAATATTTAAAACTGTTCCCAATTGTTAAATAATAAAAAGTAGCACATTATTTTAATTTATGTCAAAATCAAAATTCTATAATTAGACCTTTATTCCGTTCATCCCATCAATTGATTTATTCTTTAATATTTGAGCGTATTGAAATAGATTGTTTTGCAGTTTTAGTTTAAGCAAAGAATCGCTCTTAAACGTTTCCTTTAATTATTATAGATACCAATATAAAAAAATTGCAGCTCTAAATAGAAATACATATAATGACAGAAGAAATAATATGCAATATTTGTATACATATATTATATAAAATTTATTTAAAAGTTATTTATTATATAAAACTTTATTTAAAATTTGTTTATTATATTAAATAAATTAAAAATTACATTTATATATGAATGAACGTTTCACTGCCATGATAAATACAGATAAAATTTTCAATAGAATTTGATTATGTATTACGATTTACCCTGAACTTCGAAATGCTAAAATATAGCATTATTATATATCTCTCTCAGAGAGAGTATTTTACTATAATATATATTGCATATATTTAAATTCACATTAATTCCTGTACAAGTAATATCAAATATTAATTAATTGTGCGCCACAAATTAGTATTAAAAATTGACTCGTTTGAATTATATTATTTAATAAACCTGCAAGAGACGAGTCTGCGGAAATCAGTCAGCGGAATACAGATTTTCGTATAAAACTCCGATACGGAATAATCCTGCTACGTACGCCACAGCGCGAGATAATACCGCAGTCGCAGCTGCAGCTGGTCGTAAGGAAACTGGCGCACGTGTTTCGCGGTATTTCTGGCGTACGGACTTATTTCACTATTTTATTAGATTAAATATTCACGAGGGACGCTAGAGCACGATAGCAACAACGGCGAGCCGTAGAAAAACGCAGTGAAATACGGCGCGGACCACAGGCTGCGAGGGTGTGGGCGTTATCGTGTAAGAAATACAGGTCATTGTTGCATCTTTAATGCGTTGTACAAAAGCGGCGCATGAATAAGTTGAACTTCGTCGCTTCGGCGCGAAACCACAGCGGTGTGGCGTTTTTATCGCCAGCATTCTTCTTTTGAATGCATCACGCACATCGATGAGTATGTACTTTGACTCTGCATGAAGTTTCTATATTTATGCTCTTATATGATAAGGATTTCGATACGGTGTTTCTTATCATGCTACACAGAAAGAACGATTTTATTGAAGTATCCTAATCCTTCACAGTGGGTCAAAATGACCCGAGCATAATGTAAATTATTTTAAGAGTATTAGACTAAAATAAAAATTTGAAAATGTTATAAATTTAAAAAGCTATAATTTTTCAAGCAAAAAAACTATTTTCCAAAGTTAACATGTTCACGATTGTTAAAATTAAATTTGTCATTATAACGCCATTGTTCCATTTTCTTACAGGATATAAACTGTAATTTTTTGAAGAGTCTCTCTCTTTAAAAATGGTTTGGATCATTTAACTCAGAGTCTCCCTCGTGTGACTTTTTTGATGTGTGACCATGAAGAGTTAAAAATTTAGTTAGATACAGATTTGAAAATAATTTTGTTGAACTATTAAAATAATGATATAAGACGTTTAAGCTCAGAGAAAGCTGACTACACATTGTGATATACACGATTTTACTTTCCCATATATGGCAATACGATTTCAAACTAAAACATTACCATGTTTTGTGTGTAACTTTATAATATATTGTGATTTTTTGTTATATAAACGATTACCTAGAATGTTTTACATTTCAATTAAAATCACTATTATTAACAACTTTTACATGTTATTGATATTGTTTCTCAATTTATTAGTACATAGGTGCGGTTCACTAGACGCTCAAGATTCGTTCTATTGAACTGTTCCACGACTCAAAATTAGTTTCAGTTGAGTTTCTCATCAGAAACACGACTATAAATACGGGCCTTAAATATATACGTAAACACTTAATGTCAATTTTGATTTGCATTTGCTTTTTAAATGTCATATTAAGCTATTTAAAGTACCTATCTCTATTTATATTTCATTTAATATTTGTTTGACTTTAATTCACTTTTTTCAAATAGCTTTGATGAAATCCTTTGACTGACACTTATTTTTTATAATTTATATTCTATAACGTTTTTTACTTTTCTTTTATGTGACAGTATTTCTAAAAAATAAAGATTTTAATTAATATAAAGCTCTTTTATTACCTATTTTCGATAGAATTGCATATTATTAAAAAATTTGTAAAAAAATCTACGTAAAAAATAGTAATAAAAAGGAATGAAAACATATTAAACAATATCCATGTAAAATAATATTTTACAACAAATATTTTTTCGTAAAAGCAATTTCCTTATTCTGTTATTAAATCCATTAATTATTTCTGTAAAATATATATTATAATAGAAGTACAATAGATGTTAAAAATAAAAGATAAAATCATGCAGTAGACAACAAAATCACATTGCAGTAATTTTAAGTTTTAATAATCTTAGAAAAATTACGACGCTCGCGTCGAGATTTTTGTGATTTAGCGTTTAGCCGTGTCTTGTTGTAGTAAAATATTACACCGCTAACAACCTCTAATGAATGAAAACAAATGGCGGACACACATGCAATGCTTCACAGTTGACACGCATTTGCCATATAATAACGTCCTACAGATTTTGTTATGGATGGTGCGAGCGTGGCCGTCCGTATCGCAATAATAAAGTAACAAATGTTTCAATGAAAATTGACGTTCGTTACTTGGCTTAATATATCTGCGCACGTGGCGACACGTTACTGCACCGCCGAATACCATATTGCGCGAAATCATTTTTTTTCTCGCGTTCGCAAAATTAACCTGATGCGATTTATTTTGAAAGCGCAATTAATCTTATCGAATCTAACACAAGCAATCCGCCGCGATTTTGTTATGAAAATGCAAATTCTACTCGATCCACGAAGTTTCCAATTTACTCGAAGAATTAAACAAAACAGTATGAATGAAAAAAAAATTGTTTACAAAAGTACTCTGTATTTTCAAATGAACTTTATTCGTAAAAATTGAATTGCTATAATTCTGCTTTGCTTGCGCATTGTGATTTCACATATGATTTTCTTACGAACAATTTTACTTGATAATAATCATTTTAATAAAAGAGGATCAAATTAAATGAAATAAGCAAGTTTTATAAGAAGCGAATATGTGCGGCTTTATTTACTGCTAGTTAGCATAATCATGATGGCCTACATTAGTCATTAAGGAGTAAACATCTTATTAAGGGTTCCATCCTAGCACGCTACGCTTCCGGTCTGAATTTAATGGCGACGGAACGAAATGGCTTTTCGGGCCATTTCGCTAAAGCTCGTTATCTCGTTAACGATCGGAGCGCCTATTCGTATATTCGAGCTTTGTCACGACTGCATCTTATCACGACACTGAGAGAAACAGAACGAGATATACAACAATAATTACTACTTAGAGATCGTAAATTTTTCTTAAGATTAGAAAGTTAGAAATTTTATACGAATTATGCGCATTGTTCAGAGAATATCGCAAATTTATTCTTATATTTCTGCACAGAAAGAACAGTTTTAATGTAATATTTAAAAATTGAGCTAAATCTTTATTATTAAAAAATAATTTTAGTGAACATCACAATGTACATAATTATTTTGATGATCCGAGAGATTTGATAGAATTATTTTCCGTATTTAGCTAAACTTTTTAACACTCGGCAAAATCGTTCTGTGTAAAGTCTTAATTACCTAGATACAAAAATTTTTTTATATTTTTCGTATTAAATAAATATTGTAATTTATGCTAAAAAAAATTTGGAGCACGATCGCTTTCAGATCCAGTTTGATAAATTTGCTTTTAAAATATTTCTCTGTATATATCTGGTGCATTCTCCTATATCTCGTCAGTGTACGTAAAATGCAGTCAATACTGTCGGACAGAGATATATATCTTTTTTATATGTCTTTTTCAGCCTTATGAATGCGATGAATATGCACATACGAAGTAACTGTATCCTTAAAAAAAAGACAAAAATATAGCATATGTTAGCCAATCACTATGAGATATATTTCCATCTCTTTTGTATAAGAAAGATATATACTTCTGTGACAGCAGAATTTCTCTCGTGTTTATAATACATTAATATTACAATTATTCTCGTTATGTCAGTCATTGATAAATTCTGTGCGCCGTTATAACGAGATGATTTATCTCGGAATATACACGCGTGTGCGATTTATGATTCTCGCGACGGCCTGCATATCCGGGTGCATGGTGCAGAATAGCGCATGAATGTCGCTTACGTCTTATTTCCGAAACCAGAATATTATAGTGCTGCGTAAGCAGGAATGGGTCGAGGTCGATTGATGCTAGGACGCGAACGGAAGAGGCGCTTAAAAGGGCAGCCGCGCTAACTAGAAGAAGAAACGGGAAAGCAGGGAGGGCCTGGTGAGAGAATGCAAGCCTCACCTGTACTTTCGCCACCACGTAGCTTCTGCTCGGGCCTCTCAACCCTCTCCTCACTCGGCTGAGGTGGTCTCTCTGTCCTTTTCGGATAGTAGGGGTTGTACGACGAGGGCCACACGGTGGTCAGCCTTTTTGCTGGCGGTGGCGTGCTCGGTCGTCCTGAAAATAGATTAGGACCTTTCTCATCTAACCCAGGCACTCTCCTGTTTGCTTCCTTCTTTTTTTTTTTACACCCGTCAATAATTCAGTTCGGTTACGTCACCTCTCTTTCCTTTTTCTCCCGTACTCCCCGTGCTTTCCTGTTGATTTGATTTTATTCGCGTATGTAAAATATTATGCGCACTATTCTACACCATACAAGGCCGTAGCAGTAAAATTACGAGAAATGATGGAAATTTAGCCGACGCGATAACGTAATGTAATTATTATTATGAGTGGACGCTTACAGTATTACAATAATAAACGTAGATAGATCAGCTTCCACAACTTTAGAACGAATATAAAACTTATAAAAGCCCTTCTTTTTGGTATTTACTAATATATAAGATGTTCATTGTTCAGATTCTTAGTATTTTTAAATATATATACATTAAATCATTTTAAAAATATATATTCATACAATATTAAAAATAAAAGGAAAAGTCTTAAAAAGCATATATAAATTGAAACAACCAAACTGTTAATGTAGTCTAACAATTATTATATTAATATTTAATTAAAATTTGAATTTAAAATTTGAAACAGTCAAACAATTAACGTAGTCTAATAACTACATTAATATTTAACTAAAATTTTAATTAAAAATTTCATCTTTTACACTGAGAGAAAAATTGTTCGTTTGACTAAATTAATTTAGTACATTTTTATTTCTTATGATGAAAAATGTTTATATTTAAGTCAAACATATTATATTTGACTTTAAAAACATATATTCTTTAACAATCATTAGCCCTTAAATATTGGCTCGAAAAACTAAAATAAAAACAAAAGTTAAGAAATATAATTGGTGGAAAATATTATATATAGTATTTAATGAGAAATATTTTATACATCTTTTTATAAACTATACATTAATTTTGCATAAACTCTTTAAAACTTAAAATACTATATTTCAATTGGAATAGACTCTAAAAAATCTTTTTTATTAAATATGAACGAAAGTGATCTTTGGATACTTCGTAATATTATTAATTAAATATATTTTTTGTAAAGTAAGTAAGGAAAAACTTTATCAATATGACGATTCGTTAACTTAATTCTCTTGTCTCAGTAAGTATTTAAAACTCTACTATCATTTACGATTCCTATTGCAGACTCCACATCTGATTATAATTAAATATTATGCAATCTCAACGATACGGCGACTTTTATTATACTCGTATGTATATGAGACGTTTGATTGATAGTTTTTTTAAATTTTAATTGGATAAGCCTTCGAAAAAGAAAGTTATAAAAATTAAAAATATTCATAAAAAACTGGAGACTAAATATGAATAGTTTAAAAGTATCTAGTCGATATTTTACTCATAATTTTTTATTCGATTTTTATATCGAGCAGCAAAAAATATCGAATATTTGATATTATATCGAATAACGATAAATGTCTCTATTTATAATTATATAATTGCCTTACGTTTTATGTTTGCTATATATAACGATGTTTTTCACTACTCCGTAACTATGTCGACGCTGCGTCATTCTTAACAAGCGAAATTTAATTTATAATGGATGGGACAGAAAACATACGCGCGCGAGCACGTGGTGGGCGCAAGTTTGATGAATTCTATGAGCTTCTTTGAAAACGAGCCAAGTTCAACTTGTTGCGTTCGATGCCGACGGACGTTCTATTGAACAAAATATCTTCTCACAAGAGAATCTCGCAATAAAAAAAAGGTCCTGAAAAGTGCCTGCAATCCTCTATAAAGCGTTTACCCCGAATTTAAACTGCCTACCATTTAACACGTAATGAATTCATTTAAAGTTCTAAGTTCTGGATTTAGACTTTACTGGATAAGACTTTTAAAATTAACTTACAATATTTTTACTTTCAACTTATCAATTTTTTACTTTTAATATTGATAATTATGATAATCATTTCTTTAAAAAATAACAAAAACAATTGCTTTACTTCGCGTAAAGTAAAAACTTTATTGGAAAAATTGTCCAATAAAAAAAGTGACATTAACATATTTTTAAATTTTAATCTTAAATATCTACATGATATTGCTAAAATTGATAATTATTTAATTAACAAGTATCAAATAATTGCAAGACGACTATTATAAATTAGGGCAGAAGGTAGACGGCTGTCGTTAATTTATTTTAGTGGTAATTACTTTACTAAGTGACTCCCCCGACAGCATGATCACATAATGTTTAACAAACGCTTCTTCCCATAAGACAATGCGTCTGCCACGTCTAATTCGATTGTATTGTCTACACTCTACAAAATAAGATTATACTTGGTGCGTCACCGTCTTATCTTTGTAAATATGAAAGTGTATCCCGGGAGAGTTGCAGCCTTTGCTAGTAGTAGATTGAAACTTTACTTACACGATAATTCTGTACAATGCGTATCAACCCGGGGTGTAATTCAAGTTGATATTCGCCACGGGGCCTGTATACTTCTACTGCGTGGAGACCCATTCTCTGTGACTTGCTAGCGAGATGCTTTGACGCTTATTTCGTTCCTCATAATCGTGAAGATTATTCAAACTACCATCGTTCATGGTCCCGCGCGTGTCGTTTGTCGATGTGATCTCGAAAACTATGTCCCGAAGTAATTCAAAGTATATGAATTATTATACTAATCCCGATTATTTCAAAGAAAAAAGAAAAACTACAAAAATCCTTGTTACATTTTCAAGTTTTGACTCATATTATTATAAAAGGATCAATTTTATTTGTTTTTCTGAGGCAATAAATAATATAAATCAGGGATTTCTAAAGTATGGGTTGTGAATTGATTTTTAGTGAATCGCAAAAAAATTTTAAATATTAATTTACATTTTTCGTTACTTCACGCAGTTATATAAATTATAAAATTGCGTTTTTGCACATTTTTTTACGATCTTGTATACGATTGAATTTTCAATGACATGGTGGTAAGAATAAAACCTTTTCTATTCTATTTCTTAACGACAGTATTGATGTCGTTACATTGCATTCTGTAGGTGTTACACAAGGTAAAAAGAACTGCACAACAATATAACAATATCCATTGCATTATCGTTACAAATTACAGAATAGGGAAGTCTAAATTTCGAAATAATTACAATCATATCTTTTGCACATAAGAAATATTTAATAATAACTTTCATCGATATCAAATTATCATCAGTAGAAATAGAAAACGAAAGCATTTCTGACATATATTTTATTACGTATCTGAGAAACAGATTTATAAAATTGTATTTAATAAAAAATCAGAAAGTAGGAGCAGCATAGACATATAAATAAACAGATATAAATAATTAACTTATTCATCTCATGTTTTTGCATATTTATTAAAGATAAGTTGGGGATGCTTGTCGTTTCTAAAAAGTGGATCTGTACACACTTAGGAAAGTCTGTCACAGAACGTTAAATAAACATTCTTATATAGCAAAATTAAAAAATACCAAATATATATATATATATATATATATATATAATTAAATATCTTTA